CGATTTTATTTATTAATTTTTTTAAAACCATCACAAGCAGTGGTTTACAACAAGTTCCTGTATCGAATGTTTCGGTTTTCCTGATTCTTTCTTACTAAATAAATTGAATCTCAGCTCTAGTGCTGAGTCTTTTCACAAAAACAAAATTTGTGTTTTCATGTTCAACACTCAGTTTAATTAAGACATGAAATGACTGCAATAAATGTTCAACAATGGTACTAACTTGGTACTGTATCTGGTATCCGCTGTAATGCGAAGCCCGGTTATCGCTGTCGTTATCAGGACTGATAAAGTTGGATTAGTACATCCTGAGATTAAAGAACAGTGCATATCTATGCAAAAAATGCTCTGGAACCTCCTTTGGCCCTTTTAGGCATAGTTGGCTAGCTTCAGAAATGCCCGGATTCTAGGTGGCTTTGTCTCACCTATCTAACAAGACTCTGTTGTCATGAGTTGCGATGATAGTCCTGCAGGATAAATTAAGGCCACTTGGTCCTTAAGTGTTTTCATAGTTATATCAGTGTATAATGGTTTGAAATCTTTTTTTTTTTTGAAAACCCTGCCCTTTGTTGTAAAAGTAAATTAAATAAGGCTGTTCAGTAGGAAAATAAAAGTCAATTTCTCACAAACTGCTGTTTTACTATCTTTCTTACCTCTTTCTTGCATCCACTCCCTCTCCCTGGCTGTCACTGAAATATTTGACGGCTTGCAGATACGCAGCGTGCCTTGCAGGCGGTGGAGCGTCTCCAGGCCAAACTGAAGGAGCGGGGGGAGTTGGCCAGCGAGGAGAAGCTCAGTCTGCTAAAATCGGTGCTCCAGAGCCCCCTCTTCCACCAGATTCTGGCCCTGCAGAAGTCTGTCCAACTTCTCAGAGACCAGGTAAACTCTCACTTCAGTCTGCAAATATGTAAACAGGCATGATTTAATTAATGCTGTATGCAATGTGTGTAGGGTCTCAAGGATTGTAACAAAAAAAGGAGTAGAAGGTCATGGAAATTTTACATAACTATGGTGCTACACTGCTGAAATGCCAGATGGTGTCATCACACTTAGCTGGACCATAAATAGTCTAAACAGAGACAGTTGTGTGACATCAGAACTGCCCTGTTTTTTGATGTGATGTCCATGCAGGGAGAGGGTGTAATACAGTATAATTATCATCATCATTAAAATGGGACTGTGTCTCATTTGTGCCTGTACATCTGTACATTATTATGAATTAAGAAAATGCAGGCTTCAGTGTTTATGAATAATTTATGAATAATCTCTGCTATTGACTGTTGTCATGAGGCCCCATAAAGCCTGTAGTTAGAATTTTGTAGCGGTCAATTGGCAGTGGTTGCATGATAGCATCGCATTATGCAAATAGATCATGGTTAAATTTAAGAAAAAAAAAACCTACGTTCCAGTTTTATATGCTTGTTTTCTCCATTAATTTTGCTCATAGCATGTGTCAAAACACAGACACACACACACGTATTTCTGGTCCCCATTCCCAGTAATGTTGCTGCTGTGGCCACATTGCTGTCAGAATTCTCACAAGTCAGATATAATATTATGGGTGCGTGAGCAGAGATAGTTGGTCTAAGTCAGGAACTCTTTTTCAGGCTAATTCTCCCCACTGAGAATTGAATGTTTGAGTGGTGGATGAAGCGAGCTTTTAAGATACACTGGAATGAGGGGCCAGGGAAAGCATTGGAGAAAGATGAAAATATTTCAGCTATGCAGTGGGAGGCAGAGATGCTAGAGCTTTTTTACCCCTGGTGGAATTTAGATCATGAAAGCCCCTTTGGCATTTTTTGTCTGCTGGCAAGTCAGTTTGTTGCGTACGAGGTGCATTCCTTTGTCTGTGCGTGTGTTCTTGAGCCTGTTAACAGAATTTATCAAGAAGCCACTGAATTACAGTCTCACGAATTGTAAACAAAAGAGAAATGATTCAGAAAGTTTCAGAAGCAAAAAGCACTTGTTGCTCCAGATGCTGAATTTGAAGAAAGTGTGGATTTTGAAATCTGCTGTTAAGACAGGAGCCTGACACATAATCACACACACACAAACACACACTGTCCGTCGTCTGGCTCTGCTGGTAAAGCCCTTGTTCGGCTCATGTCGCTATGGCGACAAGGCCCCATTCTCCAATGAGAACGAAGCCACTGCTGCAGTGTGAAGTGGGGCAGAAACAATTTCTTAAATGTGCAAGAATCACCCTGGAACTTTAATCCTCTTAGCAAGGACACAGCTAACAAAGCTTATGCATGAGGACTGTAACTTAGCAGCAAGCAATGATAACCTAGCGCGACACGTAGGGTTTTGTTAGGTTAAGTGTCCGTTTTGTTGGATGTGTTTCTCCCCAAACTCAAATGTTCAGAAGGCAGGCTTCAGTTTTTAAGGAAATAACAAACCAGTCAAACCAAAACCATGTGGTAATTGAGATTCTGATTTGTAATGTAATTAATCAGTCTCAGAAGTAAAGTCATTGCAGTAATTAAAAACTAACTGCATCCGAGTAATCCAGATTTATCCCACTATCATATTCTTCTATCCAGGTAAATATCCCAGTACAACGAGGGGGTGACCCGGTCGATCACAATACAGCAGTCAAGTCTAATGGAAGCCATGCTCCCTATTCAGACACATCTCCTGCAACACACATTATCAGCAAGTCATCATGTGAGGAATTTGAGCATGTAGTCCAGTCCATGGCCCAGGTGAGAACATTGTGAGCCAGTGCAATAACTTTTAGCAGTATCGAGTATTTATTAAACACACTTTATGAAAAGTATTGTTCTACATTGCCTATCTGTGTAGCATATCCCATCACCCTGAGTAGGTTGATGAAAAAATAAAGCCAAATAAACCCAAATGGCCAAAGAAGCTCAGATATGGAAAACCACTAAACGAACAACAAACAAAAAGACTACTAACGGCTGCTTCCAGCTTTGATGCTATAAGTCAGCAATATATATATATACTGTATATATATATATATATATATATATATATATATATATATGTGTGTGTGTGTGTGTGTACTCCTATGTATATATGTGTATATATGTACATATATGTATGAATAATATAATATTTACATATTGTATTTCTATATGTGTGTGGAAATGATGCAGGGCCGCCACATGACAAATGTGGAGCTTCAGAAACCTGTGTCTGGAGGTCTGGGCTTCAGTGTGGTGGGTCTGAAGAGTGAGGACCGTGGGGAACTGGGAATATTCATCCAGGAAATCCAGCCTGGAAGCGTGGCTCATTGGTATGTGAGGACTTGAGGGTCATTTGTAGGACTAATGCTTATATTCTTTCTGAATGTGCTTTACAACCGCTTAATTGTTGAATTGGCACTCTGGAACTGCCTGTTTAACTGGAAAAAATTACAATTTTTACATCTGTGACTGGTTTATTGCAATGTGTATTGCAACATTTATAAATAATTGTAGTTATATTGCTGTCTCATATAATGATTTTATTTTAACAGACAAGATAGAAAGGTAGAGAGGAATAGAAAGAGTGAAGGGGAAAGTTTTAATTTAAATTCTTTGAGTATCTGATGTCACATTGACCTTCATATCACTGGGCCTTTTTCCAATGCAGTGATGGAAAACTCAGAGAAGCAGACCAAATCTTGGCCATCAATGGGCAGCCCTTGGACCAGACAGTGACTCACCAACAGGCCATAAGCATCCTGCAGAGCGCTGCGGAGCGGGTGCAGCTCACAGTTGCTCGAGGCCCAATTCCTCAGCTGGCGAGTCCTGTGGTATCTCGCACTCCTTCTGCTGCCAGTACTGTGTCGGCCAATTCCAACGCGGTATGTAAAAAAAAAAAAAAAACCCACAAAGCTTAGAAACATGCAGGGTTAAACCTCTGATTCGGAAATTCTGTTTCAGACTTTCAACAAGGCTAATGAATATCTCCATGTTTACCACAGATTTTATGAGACATTACACAAATAATTATTTTCCTAATATTTGACAAGTTGCAACACGTGGAGACTATTGAAATAGTCAATGACGGAACCGGCCTTGGATTTGGGATCGTTGGAGGCAAGACCACTGGGGTTATTGTTAAAACCATACTCCCTGGAGGTATAGCCGATCAGGTAATTGTATTAACATAAGTTTTATATTTTAGCAACAAGCATCAAAAACTATTCTTCTACAGTATTGACTGAAGAAATTGCACAAATCTTTATTTATGGAAAACAGTTGAAACTGATGAGATAACTCTCTTAATTTTTTGTATACAGAGAACGTAATGAAGCACAAAATAAAACTGGCATTCTGGGTTTTGTTGGCGGCACAAACTTTAATAACAGCCAAGATTAAATTGTTGGAGCCAGAGTAAAAATTCGATCCACACCGATGTCAGCATCATTATGTGATTTATTTAAGGTAATGAGGAAATGGCTTCTTCAGAAAGAGCCTCTAGCAGGTGTTTTTATTCTGATACCAAGGTATTTATTTGTTAATATTATTTTAAGTGATGTTCAAAGAGCGTTATATAGAAGTGGAAATGTATTTATCATTTGCAATTATAGACAAAGGAGGAGGAAGTGGTGTGTAACTCAATGATTGTGGCTTTGCTCTGTATTAAAGTCCTTAGTTTTGTAGCACAGACACTAGTAGGAGTATGCTTGATATTTAGTTGGTGGTCTTGAATACTTTGATTTGGGGATAAAAAAAACCTTGATCTGAATAAAACCTAGTTAGGCTGATTTGTCTTATAAATCTGTAAAAATACAAATTTAACGATGGAACTAATACTGGATTACATTATTAATAATAGAAATAAAAGATTTTATTTCCATTCATAATCCTGACTGGCTGACAACAATATTCACTCATTCCCCATGAAAAAGTCAGTAAACGATGTCTGTCATCATGATTAATCGCGATCAATCTGCATCTGCTATATAATAAATCTGATTAAAAGATTTGAATAGATTGACAGCTCAATAACCAAATAATGGAAAAGGCATAGAGGAGGAAAATGTGTGGAGCTTTTTCTGTTGTCCCTGTGAGAAGTAAACTTGTTCTTTTTTTAACATTTGGAGTCAAAAACAAAACAAGAAAACACTGTCTTCTCTACCTCAGGATGGCCGCCTGCGCAGTGGAGACCACATCCTCAGAATCGGTGACACTGATCTGTGCGGCATGGGCAGTGAGCAGGTGGCACAGGTCCTCAGGCAGTGTGGGAACAGAGTGAAGCTGGTTGTTACCAGAGGTCCTGCAGAAGAGACTCCTTCTGCTGTCATGCCTGTGGTGCTCCCTACTGTCAATGAACAACAGGTGAGATTGACAGGCAGTGAGAAAAGTGTCAGGAGTCTGAGGAGTCTCTCATCATAACATGGAAATGATTCCACCTTCATATCAATCTTAGTTTTTTTCTATGATGAAGCCTGAGGATGATTGATTACCATATCAGCCACCTATTCAGAGTGAGACAATAGAATCAAAAGATTTTCAGAACTAAAGTTCAGACCATTGATCTTCAAGTGTTCTTGATCTACACTCCTTTTTATATTTTGATAGTCCTAGATTGTCCCTTTTTCAGAAACAGCACTTAAACAGCCATTTTATGGTCATTGTCAGTTTTCAGCCCCATGGAAAACAAAAATCCATTTTAGCAACTCACAACCTCAATGTCCACACAGTATTCTTTTGATGGCATGTTAGCAATTTCTTTCCTAAATTGCACAGATTGAAATCACTTAGTAATGACTTGAATAATGTCTTTTGGTGTCCATGCAGTGTAAATAGATATTTACCGCTGTCAAATCTATTACTTTTTGCTTTTTATTTGATTAGTTGGTGCCAAAATCTATCACTTCCATTAATCTCTTCCTCAGGGCTACGAGGAAGAGGAGGCTGAGGCATTTGATGTGAGCCTAACTAAGAACACGCAAGGACTGGGAATTACGATAGCTGGCTACATTGGTGATAAAAATTCAGGTGAGACATTGCACCTCAGTTCACCACAGGAGAAGTTCATTATCAAGAAGAAAAAATAACGAAAAAAAAGGCCAATATGTACAGAGCTACCACGATGGCGTCTGGACTCCGCAGCATCCTGGATCAGTGGAGCTAAACAATATTTAAACAATAAACAATATTATATTACACTAATGTTGAAAAGACACAGGGAAATCTTTGATGTCAAATTAATGTTAAGTGCATTTAACCCTGTAGAATAATCAAATAACTAATTTTCCTCTAATGTTTTAAATTATACATTTTTTTAACAGGTTCTCCAGATTTCCTGATATGTACATGATAATTACCACCACTGCCTCAGAACTGGTGGTTGCACAATAAGTTTACCTGTATTAGTTACTTTACTCCAAATGTAGGTGTCCCCAACCCCCTGTCTGTGTCCATTGGTCATTTAGTACTGGTAGTATGATCAGATTACTACTAACCTTTTCATTTAAGGATAATCTGGCATCTGGCAAGTAATGCATCTGTCAGACTCCGATAACAGGACAAATTCTAAAACATGTTTTATTTTGACTATTTACTGATCCTAAATGACCCTCTCATGGTCTTTCAATAGTCAGCACAGCGCCACTGGTTTTTGGTACTGTCCAATGCCAGCTGACCGTTCCTTGTTGCAAAAAAGGTTTGGAGTCACTGAGTAAATGATTTACATCTCAGTGTGTTGCAACCAGCTGAACAACTACAACTTTGTGGCACATTTTGATTTTTTTTTTTTGGTTAGTGACTTGCTTTTTTGTTGATTTCCTCCCTGTGCATATGTGTGTATCCTGGTAAATAACTAATAAGACAGATCATAGAGATAGACAGGCAGAAACTGCAAAGGAGGGGGGACAGCGGGGGTTTGGTAACGGATTCACAATATGAAAACTATATTCTTTTCTGTAAATCTTTTTGCACCAGATTCTTCACATTACTGTGAAACATGCTCTCAAAACCTGGCTCCAGTCATTACGCTGGAACGTGTTTACTCTTCTGTCTCTTTTTATTCAGTGTCATGATTCATTGCTCCCTTCTTCATCCCTTCAATGCTTCTGTCTGCACAGATCCCTCTGGTATTTTCGTTAAGAGCATAACAAAAGACAGCGCTGTAGATCAAGATGGCCGCATTCATGTTGGAGACCAGATAATAGCGGTGAGTTCTCTGTAGCTGCTGCAGCTTTTTTCCCCCGTCATTAAGGTTCTCATCGTAAAGTCAATCAGTCGACAGGTGAAGTAGAAAAAATACTTTACAAAAGAAACTTCTTTTTGAGGTCTGCTAATGTCAATTTTGTTGTGTCATGGATTAGAAAATAATTAGTATAATCAGTGTTCTTTTTGTATCTTAAGAAAGCAGTTCTTTATCAGAGATAGAAAAAGAAAAGAAAATTTAGTGGCAGTTTGAAGCACAGGCAACTAAGTTAGTATTAACACAGTTTTAAGTGGAAGGAAGTAATAAACTGCAGAATTCACCTTTATAAATTATTAAATATAAATTCTTAGTTACTGAGTTAGTAACCACGTTACAGCATTTTAAAAGTAACCTGTTTTCAAGGAAAAGTTTGAAAAGTATTTCAAAAGTTATATTGTGTGCCATTGTTGTGTTCTTATGTATACAATATATATTTTTATCTTAATAATATAGCTGTATATTGAGTATTTTTAATTAAATGGACATATAAAAGAAATTGACAAATCTACAGTAATTAAAAGTTGTTGTGGAACAAAGTGAGACCAGAAATGTATCTAATTTAATATATTATTGTAAATTTTATTAAAACTAGAACAGAACTAAAAACTGGGACAAAGACGCGGGCCAAACTCAATATATATTGAAAAATTGACCTGAAATGTGCATGTTTTTCCTTCTCTCCTAATGTTGATTTTTTTTGGAAACAAACTACAGTTTTGCACACACACAACCCCAGCGTAATATTACAAAATAAGACACACATCAGTGGCATTTATTTCTTATATGTATCTCTCTCTGTCATTAGCCTTTTGAGTTCCTTTTTAATGTAAATCTTTTTTTCACAGGCCAACAAAAGAACAACCAAAAATAAACCACGTGTGCTATAATATTGTGCATACATCACTAATACTACAAATCCCGCCAGTATACAGTGGCTATATAATGGTGGGCCAGCTCTAATACACATTTGATGTTCTCGCGGGCCAAATATAATTAAAGGATGGGCCAGATTTGGCCCACTGGTCTGAGTTGACACTTGTGCTTTAGAGCCTAGTCGGATAAGACAATGTCACTTCGCTTAATTATAGTTAAGTGTGGAATATTATTATCAGCAATGTTTAAGGCTTTATAATGGTTTGTAAGATAAGGAAATAAGGTTCAATTTATTCCAGTCAAATACTAGTAATTAGATTTAATGTGACATTTTTACCAATAGATTATATTAGCCAATTTACTCCTTACAAATGTTGATCTCTGCAGGTGGATGGCGTAAACATACAGGGATACACCAACCAACAGGCAGTGGAAGTCCTGAGACACACAGGTCAGACTGTGCACCTCAAGCTGATGAGGAGGGGATTCAGGCCTGATGAGATTGGTCCTGCTCCTGTCCAGAACGTGACCATCTCACCACCTTCCTCCAGCATCAACACTGGCAACACTACTGCCAACAGTAAGGTCACAAAAGAGCTTGAGGTGGAGAGGGAGAAGTCTGAAGAAACTACTCCAGGTGGGAAGGATACAAGTGACATAAATCTAACCAGGACAGCAAAAAATACAGTCTTTGTTTCCTTATCAGCCCTTCAGAGTCGATAAGAAACAAAAGTGTCAGTCGATGTGTAAATTTGGCCCAGATGGGAGCGTTCATCATGGGGAGAGCAGTAAATTCTTGCCAACACCAAAATCAAACTTTCACTCATTTTTATCACTGTAGTAAAAACAGAGAAGTTAAAATGTTATGTTAAATACGAAAACCCAGTCTTTACCGATGTCATTGTCATTATGTCAAAAACAGTTTATCATTAATACAGCCTGCAACAGGTGTTTTTATTCTGATACTGAGGGATTTATTTGTTATTATTCTCAACAAACTGTTGTTCTGTTAACAAACTTACATTTGAAAGGCCATCATTTCTCTTGTACAGATTGTGCTTTAAATAGAATGTCCATGTCCACAGCTACAGGTAATCCTTAGTATATTATTAATATTAATATTTAGTATACTTACAAACAATTGTATTAAAAAATGTTCTACTTACATGAATGGTATATTGCCATTTGAGACACAGCCTCATCCATGTGCAGTGCCATCAGGTTTACAATTGCAGCCCAAAAACCTAGAAATACAGCCAAATTTCAATATTTCATTTAGGAAATGAAATAGATTAACTGGAAAAAACTTACCTCAAATGAATGCCAGTTGTTCTGATCCCAGGTTTGATTGGGGTTTTCTGGTGTCTGATCTGAGGCGTATGACATATTTTGGAATTTTAAGAAAAGTCAAAGATATTAGAAGTGAAAGAATAAAGTGAAGTAAATTAGTGTTTAGAGTAAATGTTGAGCGGAGGCTATGGAGACAGAAGTACCTATTTCTTGCTAAAATGAACCATCTTCCTATCTTAGTCTGAATTTCTTAGAAAGCCACAAGTCAGAGCTTTTGTTGTGATGAATAATCTAAAAAAAAAGAATGAAAACAAATGAGAGTACAGTGGGTTGCTGCCATTTAGGTTAATCAATGGGAAACTTGGGATCATTAAACATAATCAAGGACCTGTGTATTCTTGTCAAATCAATGGGTGAATTAGTCTCCTCTTCAGAATGTGGAGGGATTATGTTCAGAAGAAAATGCCAATGCTATTTTGGAAGTAAGTAGTCGATAAACAGACTAGCAAAGTTTTTAAATTGAGCATGAATGCAGAAAACATTGTTTTTCTTGTACTTTCAGCTGTTTTCTTGCCTTGTTGGTTGCAGTTGTCTGTAACACTGTTTTTTAACTTGCGTTTCCAGATGAAATGCCACTTCATACAATGAGTGAAGGATCTGATGTCAAGCTAACTGCGGATCAGCTGACAGAAGACAAACACGGTAGGAGGCTGCAATTCCTTTTATTTAACATACAGCAGAAAAGCTGCCAGGCATGCCTAACTGGCAGATGAAAGTCCATGTTGTCAGGACCTCAGTGGTTAGCAACACACAACAGAAGAGGAGAAGATGGTTTTTGTTTGTTGTGGCACAGACTGCAGTAGAAATCTCATCGAGGCAGATGAATGTTGGCCCTGTCTTAATACATCAAAAGTAATTTGGAAAAAGTTCATTATTAAAGCCGACTTCTTGGCTCTAAATGAATATGGGAATCATTAATTTTCCATTATGTGTGCCAATGCAAGTGTTGTTGTTTTGTTGTTTGTTTTTCCTCAGTGATGAAGTTGACGCTCTTTGAAGAGGAGCAACTGATTCAAAAATGGCAGGAGATTCTGGGAGCGAGTAATGAAGTTGTGGTGAGTGTAATCTTCTGTCTCACATTTATCACGTTTCCTCCAAGTAATTGCTTTGTCTCGGTAAACAGCTAACAGAAAACAACAGTGTGACCTTGGTCGCCATACGAGAAGGACCCGCGCCTTAATATCCAGTCTTTATAGATGTGATCTGTCATGTCTGTGTCAAGGTGGCTCAGGTGGAAAAGTTCACCACGAACAGCGGCCTGGGGATCAATCTGGAAGCAAACAGTGGGCATCATTACATTCGCTCTATTTTACCTGAGGGGCCCATCGGTCGCTGTGGCAAGCTGTTTAACGGAGATGAACTGCTGGAGGTATGTGGTCACAGGAATAAAATAAAACACGGCAGAGTCATGTCTTTATAATCAATTTGCAATGACTCAGAATTTGCACGATTTTTCTTAAGATGATTAAAAAGGTTCCCTAAAAAATTAGCACCTCAGCAAGCTAAACCAATGAGGAGCTAAGTAGCTAGGTTGAATCTAAGATCTGATAAAAGAGTTGCTGGTTATAAAACGTCTAAAAGTAATTGGTCTTAAGGTGTTGGTGTCATCCACCTTCAACCAGAAAGATGAATGAACAAGAAATTGAATTCAAAAGAAACCAGAGAGGTATTTTTTATATTAAACTATTGTCCTGTCAAAAACAAATATATATTACACATACAGTGATCACTGTCCTACCACGGTACTTGCGTTCCAAGACTCACCGCGAAATGGGAAAAATCAGGAAGTAGAGGCGAGATAGTTATTATATTATTTACATATATAAATGTAGCATTTACAAATCTCCCCCACCCTGTTATCAACCCTCCCTAGAGTGTATTACCTTTTCCCACACAATTATATGCACAGTAGAGTTGTAAAATGGCGACGCAAAGTGAAGAGAATGAGAGAGTGGTCCACAGCAGTGAGAGATGCTACGATGCACGAGCTAATCAGCGTAAGGAACAGAAGAGCATGCTCAATTAGCCAATAGTACACCGACTACGCATTGTATTAGCCAAAAGTATGCATAAAAATGCAGGGGGTTTGTAAAGGTGTGTGACTAATCTTAGGAGCAGGCTTATTTACAGGAAGTACTGAAATCTGCATAATTTCTGGAGATTAAAATATTGTACACTTTTGGCCTGTGATGTTTTAAGCAAGAGCATCTGCTGTGCTCCCTATCACTCACTGCTCTTTAGCCTTCTGAACACATCTTCAGAAGCAGATTACCAATATAACCAAACAAGCTGTTTGTTTTTAAACAAAAAAAAAATCAGACTTGTTTGCTATAAATTTGTAGCGGGCTTCAGGTGCAACTGGATCTCCTCTGTGGTCTACCATGCACTAGTTAACCTAAGAGGAGAAGACAAACGTCTGTCAAAAATATTACGTCAGACTTTTCTGTCATGTGCTCCTCTTGAATGGAACACAGTTTGTCCCTGTATGTGGGAAAGTGTGGGGAAACTCTGTCACCTTAGATTAATAGTGTTTTGGGTTTTTATTATGAGGATGCTTCAGCTCTGGCCTAATGAATGTTCGGCTGTCTGCTCCAGGTTCATGACAGGAGACTCATTGAGTCTTGGAGGGGGACAACAGTGTGAAGATCTCCTCTGCTTTCCTCCTTCCCTTCTCTTTCCTATTTACAT